ATGTCGTGAGCCGAGTGCTTCTAGCTCCTCCGCGGACGATGGTGACGGGCGCTTTGACCGCACACGCGTAGAAGCTGCAGTTAGGGACAACCCCCACAAAGGCTATTCAGTGTGCCAAGCAGCTTGCGAAGAAGGTGCAACAACGGCGAGGTGGTTGGCGGGGGCGCCAGAAAACGCGCAAGGATGGCCGAGGAAGCTCTGCTTTCCAGCGATACCGTGGGTGACAATGTCGAGGAGTTTTTGGATTCGCTGTAATATTACTATTGTTTTTGCTTTTCCCGCTTGCCAGTGATCTGTGTCTTGTAGCATGCCCAAAGGGGGGATGCCGTCCAAACTAACTTTGCACTCTACTTGTCTCTCTGTGTGTGTTTTTTTTGCTCTTGCGTTTCTTGGTGCATTATTTTCCCCTCGGGCGTTATCAAGCACCTCTGTCGGGGTTGAGCTTGTCGGGGGAAAGTGAAGGAACAACGCTAAATGCGTTGAGCCAGTAGCGATATCTGTAGAAAGTTTTTGTGTTTTTTATTTAGTCCTTTCCTGTTTGTTCTTGCCGGAGTATGGCTTTGAGTTTGCGGCTCAGTTCGTTGTTGTTATCGTGCAAGGGTCGTGCTCGATTTGTTGAGAATGGGAGATTGTTGCAAGGGCTTTTAGATGGATTCTCAGTTGAGGGTGTTCTTGGTATTCACTCTGTCCGTGCATTACCTTGCGTTATGATTTATGGGTCTTTAGTGGCTGGGACTGCCTTTCAGGATGGAGATGCTGATTATACGGTTGTCTTTTCCTCTCCCGCTTCCCATGAGGAGTTGTCCAGGCTTGAAAAGCTTAAATTGGCGTCTTCGAGCTTTCTTGAAGTTTCACGTGAGCATCAGCAGCAGGTTTTATCTTCAATTCTCAAGCATATTAAACTTCAGGGCTCCTGTGCGTTCTTGGAACATGAACGTATTTTTACCGCACGTGTTCCCATTGTTCGTCTAAAGCGAATGGGAATCACTGGGGGCGATACTAATTGTTTTGACCTTTCTTTGTCTTTAGATGGACTTCGAAATTCCTTGCTGATTAGGCTGTACATGGAGTCTGATCCGCGCCTTCGCGCTGGGGCGCTCTGTGCGAAACGATGGGGTCGCTCGCAGAGAATTTTAGATGCTCGACATGGGTGGATTTCTCCTTACGCGTTGACTGTTATGTACATATTTTACATGCAGACAACAGGACGAAGTAATTGTGTTATCAACGAAGCCCAAGTCGATAAAATACTCGAGGTTGTAGCAGCACACCATTCGGATGACTACTGCATCAATTGCTCGCAGTTTTATGAGGCCATTCCTTGTGTGGACGTGAATGTGTCTGAAGTTTTGTCGGATTTACAGGGCTTTTTTCGCTTCTTTAGTGATTCTAGAGAGTTTGACTTTGATGTGGATGTTGTTGATATTCGCACAATGGAGAAATGTCATTCGAAGGAGCGATGGCTTGAAGAGATGAGGGGGTTTGGCGAAGGAGAGCGATGGGGGCTTTTGGGGTATGAGGTGCTTATGCTGCGTGACCCCTACGAGCCACACAATTTGGGGCGAAGTGTGGATTTTTTCCGTGCCGAATTTATTCGTGAGACCTTTCGATTGGCCGCAGACAAGAGTGCGGAGGGTATTCTGGACCTCTTAATGGGGTGACTGTTCTTTTGTTCCTCCGTCTGGAGATCGCATTACACAGTCTTGACTCACACGCGTCCTCGACACGGCTGTCACAAACAAAAAGGCAAGGGCTGGAAGGGAACGGGAGAGATAAAAACATATACATGTAAATAAATAAATAAACGCATATATTTATATTTGTACGTATCATGTGGTGAAGTTAAATTTCTGTATATGTCGTCTCAAAGACGTTTTCTCCTGAAACTTTAAAGCCTGTTTGTTTTATTCCTTTGTCGTATGCCGCCCCGCTTTATAGCGGCGAGGTTTCTTCAGTTGCACCCATCATCATCGTCTTCTTTTTTTTCTCGTTTTGTTTTATAAGGTAGAAAAGGAAGGAAAGTTTTTCACGAGGGCTACCCCCCATGAGCAGTAAAAAGATTGGTGAGATTCAGAGAAACGAGGAGTTTCGAATTCCTCTGGAGGGCCAGGGTTCCGAAGGCACGCTGCCACCGGAACGGTGGCCTCTCTTGTTAAAGAATTACGATCAAATGAATGTGCGATCCTCACATTTCTCAGTTCTGGAGTGCGGTTGGTCACCGCTGCGGCGCCCGTTGAAGGAGTACGTGAAGTATGGGATGATTAACCTTGATAAGCCGTCAAATCCTAGCTCACACGAAGTTGTGTCGTGGATCAAGCGCATTTTGAAATGCGACAAAACTGGACATGCAGGAACCCTGGATCCAAAGGTAACAGGGGCTCTTATCATTTGCATTGATCGTGCGACTCGCCTGGTGAAGTCCCAACAAAATGCTGGAAAAACCTATGTTGGGGTTTTGCGTCTTCATGATACGGTGAGTCAGAAAAGGGTTCTTGCGGCCCTTCAACGTCTGACGGGGCCCTGTTTTCAACGACCGCCTCTGATCGCCGCGGTTAAGCGCCAGCTCCGTGTTCGTAATATATACTCTAACCAGCTAGTGGAGTATGATAAACATCGTCACTTGGCCGTGTTTGAAACACATTGCGAGGCTGGTACCTACATTCGAACACTTTGTGTCCACCTTGGACTGATTCTCGGAGTGGGTGGGCATATGGAGGAACTTCGTCGTATTCGAACGGGGGTGATAAGTGAAGATGATCACGTCTCCACAATGCACGACGTTCTGGACGCGCAATGGCTTTATGAAAACGAGAAGGACGAGACATATCTGCGCCGTGTCATTCTTCCTTGTGAGTATCTTCTCACGAACTACAAACGTGTGGTGGTGAAGGATTCTGCCGTGAATGCCGTATGCTATGGGGCGAAGCTCATGATTCCCGGGTTGTCCCGCTTTGATAATGGAATCGAAAGAGACGATGTTATTGTGTTGATCACAACCAAAGGTGAGGCCATTGCACTCGCGTATGCTGAGATGTCAACCTCGCAGCTGGCGTCCGTGGACCATGGCATCGTCGCCCGAAGCAAGCGTGTCATCATGGACCGCGACACGTACCCACGACGGTGGGGTCTTGGGCCTGTTGCCGTTAAAAAGCGTTCCATGATGAAGGATGGTCTGCTGGATAAGTACGGTCGCCCGCAAGCGAATACCCCCTCAGATTGGTACTACGTAGACTACGGTGGGGTGAAGAGCAATGCCGAGGGTGTTCAGTACGGTGAGGCCCCAAGAAAATCCACAAAACGCCCTAGAAGCGCTGAGGAAGAATCTGAGTAAAATTTAAATACACTAAGGATTACTTTATTATTATTACTATTATAAAGCTCTCATTTGTTAAAGCTTGAAGGAGGAACACGAGGAAGAAGGAGGGAAAAGGGTCGACTTTTTTTTTGTCTCTCGCTGTATACATGCGTAGACGTATATATACGAATCTGTATGAATTTCTCTTTATTCGTTTTACTGCTGGCCTTTTTTGCTTTCTTTTTGATGCTCTGTTTTGCGTCTGTGGGTTGAAACGGATTTGCTGCTGGCCCTCGGTCTTCTCTCCTACTCTCATTCTCTCGGTGAAGGAACAGCAGAGGTAACAAGGGGGGAAGAGAGAGGAAGAAAAAAAAAAAAAGAAACAATGTCGGGAAAGCTCCGCCTTTACAAGGATAAACTCGAGGGGTACAATCGTTTTTATTCGATTGTGAAAACGATTAAAATGGTTACCCTCGCCAAATATCGGACTTCTCAAACTCGTGTTAAAACCCGGGACTTTACACTTCGCTATACCGAAAAGGCGTTCAGTAAGCCTGATGCCAGCGAGAGAGAGGCTGTAGCTTCCGCGAAGAAGTCCCTCCTTTACATTCCGATTACCACGAACCGAGGCTCCTGTGGAGCTTTGAACAGCAATACTGTTCGCTGTATTGACCTTGTTGTGTCAAAGAAGATGCAGCTAATGCCCATTGGTAAGCGGGGAATTGATTCCTTCTCGAAACTTTACCCTACAGAGTTTAAATATGGCATTATTAATGATATGAAGGAGCCAATGCATTTTGCATATGCGACATTTATTTTGGAAAATGCCCTCAAAGTTTCCCCAGAAGCGGACCGTTACCAGGTTATTTTTCATCGCTTTGTCTCTGCAGGTGTTCAGAAACATGCCGTGTATAATATTCCTTCTTATGAGAACTGGAAGGAAGACATTTCTGACGCCGCTAGTACTGACAATCAGAAGAGCCGTTACCTTTTTGCCAATGCCCTGCAGAATGAGGAGGAACAGTTTATCCGCGATTTCTACGATTTTCACGCGACGCTGGCAATTCTTAACGCTGTTGCAGAAAACGAGCTTTCCGAGCAGGCTGCACGGCTGGTGGCAGTTGAAGGTCAGTTGACAAACATCAGCACCTTGAAGCAAAGAACAAGCTCCTTGTACAACAAGACCCGACAAACTGGTATCACTGCGGCCCTGATTGAGATTCTTTCGGCCATGAGCTCTTTGGAGGGGAACACCACAAAGGGTGTTCGGCGCACCAACTTCTGGGAAGGGTCGAAAATGAGGTAAGATGGTAATGAAGAGATATTTCAGTAGGCATGGGTGAATTTAGTGGAAGTGAGACTTAGGTAGGTAGCACGGGAGCGCAGCGCTGGAACGTGGTGCTGCAGCGTTCCTCTTTTTATGGCTTCGGCATGTTTCTGTGTGACGTTTTGGTATATATATATATATATATATATATATTTCTTTTTGTGTCTTGAGCACTTGTTAATGCGTTGGCTTGCTATATTGTTTGTTTGTTTTTTTTCTTTTGCTGCTTGTGCTTCTTACCGCGTGTTGCATGACCGCTGCTTCCTTTTTTGTTTTCCTTCTTTCTTTTCTCTCCTCCCTGCTTTTGCTGACCCTCCGCTTCTTCTGCCCCGCCCCCAGAAGAGTGTCCCAAATGAAGCTTAACATCGCCTACCCGCGGAATGGCACTGTAAAGCAGTTTGAGGTGACCGATGAGGTTCTCCGCCGCATTAACCTGAACGATTACCGCCTGGGCAACGAGGTTAACGGTGAAATCTTCGGCGACGAGTTCAAGGGCTACACATTTAAGCTCCGCGGTGGGTCGGATAAAGATGGGTTTCCCATGGTGCAGGGTGTGATGGCTTCCAGCCGTGTTTCCCTTCTTGTTAAACGCGGCGCCGTCGGCTTCAACACCTTCCGCGGGTACCAAGGTGAACGCCGTCGCAAGTCTCTCCGCGGGTGCGTGTTGGCGAACGATATTGCCGTTCTCAACGTCACCGTGGAGAAGACTGGTGCGCAGCCGATTGAAGGCGTGACGGACACGTCTCTTCCGCGTCGTCTGGGGCCTAAGCGTGCGAACAATATTCGTAAGCTCTTTGGCCTCGCCCGCGATGACGATGTCCGCAAGTACGTTGTTCGCCGCAAGGTGTCAAAGGAGGGTAAGAAGGACCGGTTTAAGGCACCAAAGATTCAGCGTCTCATCACGTCCACGATTAGAGCCCGCCGCGCCAAGAAGGCCAAGATGGCAGTGGAGAAGGTGCGTCAGTCGGCACAGCAGCGTCGGGAGTATTTGCGACTGATTGGTGTCCGTCGCCGTGCGGCACGTCAGCGCAAGACTGCTCGTCTGCATGTGCAGAAGGTTGCCGCGCACAAGGCGGAGGTCGCTGTCTTCAAGGCGAAAAAGTAAGGCTTTTTTTTGGGGGGCACTTTGTGTTTCTTTTTTCATTTTATGTTTAATCTTTCTTTTCTTACCACCCACTGTATATGCATGTTTCTGTCGGTGCGGCTTCGATGTACGCCTTTTATTTGCCTTTTCCCCATACTATTACCAACAGTTACTTCTCTTTACCTCCTTTTTTTTTTTTACTTTGTGTGCGTGTGTGTGTTATTTTTGTTGCTATAGTCAGTCCGTTTACTCCGAAAAGATTACAGGGAAAATGAATTTACAGAACACTGCTGTGTTGGCCGGCACTACGGCTGCTGTTGTCGCCACTGGGGCTGCCGCCGCTGGGGTTATTTCTTGTGCTGAGGTGTACCCCCAATCAGCCGCGTTTTTTGGTTCGATGGGTTGTGCCTCCGCATTGATCTTCGCGAACCTGGGCTCGGCCTACGGCACAGCGAAGTCCGGTGTCGGCGTGGCCCACCTTGGTATCCTTCATGCTGAGCGGATCATGCGTGGTATTGTGCCCGTTGTCATGGCAGGTATTCTCGGTATCTACGGCCTGATTGTCTCCGTGATCATTAACAACAATATAAAGACAGAGACGCAGTCATACTCTGCGTTCTCCGGCTACCTTCACTTTGGTGCTGGACTGGCCGCGGGTTTGTCCTCACTAGCTGCAGGCCTTTCCATTGGTATCGCCGGTGACGCGGCAGTTCGTGCGTACGGTAAGCAAGAAAAGATCTTCGTGGCCATGATTCTCATGCTCATTTTCGCCGAGGCACTGGGGCTGTACGGACTCATTATCGCGCTTCTCATGAACAATACAGCCAACAAGGTGAATTACGGCACTTGCCAGTAAGAGGTGTTTAAAGCGTAGCAATAATTCCAGGGATTGGTAGAGGAACACAAACAAGCAAAAAAAACGGAAAACGAAGAAAAACGAGCAAAAAAGAAACGAATGATGAATATCGACGATGCTACTTTTGCCTTGTTGGTATTTTTCCCGTAATTTCCTTTTTTTTTTGTATTTGTTTGTTTGTGTGTGTGTGGTTGTCAGCCTCTTTGATTGTGTTAGTAGATTATTTCTTTTTATTACGTATCATAGTTGACCGTTGCTTTATATCTATTTTGCGTTCCCGTTGCTGCCCCCGCCGCTGCTGCTGTGGGTTTTTTTTTTCAAATTCCCCCCTCTTCTAGTTGCTGCCAAGAATGTTCCGGGACCGTGTTGGGCGTGGAATTAAGAATCACGCCGCCAATGCTGCGCCCTTTCTGCTGCTTGCGGGGTTACTTCTCATTGCCGCCCTTCCAGCCTTAAAACCGAGGCAGAACTTCATTGACGAAAGCGCCGTCAACGTTGGGAGAATTCCCGTCTTGATTACAAGCTCCGACGTGGCGCATCGCGACGCCACGATTCATCAGTATCACCGCATTGTTCACGGCCGTCGTTCTGTGGGGTCGGAGACTATTGCCGTTTACGTCAATGCTGCGGAGAAGTCGTCAGTGATACTGGTAAACTTTCTGATCCGCGCTCTACAGCGGAAAGAGAATATGGCCTGTGATACACACGTTTATTTTGTTAATGAAAGTGCGTCACGTTGGCCTATCCCTGACTCCTTTGTTCGTGCAGCTTTGTTTATCAATGTCTCCTCCTTAAATACGCATAACTTGTGCTTTGGTGTGTATGGCAGGAATGGAATGCAACCCAATCAGGACCTCTTGAACTTGGCGGTCTCAATAGCCCAAGACTGGCTTTTTCATGTGGATGTTCTCTGTCAGAACCCGTACATTGCGTATTCCGCGACGCGTTCAAAGTATGAACATTATTTTGACGCACTACAAACAGCTTTGGTCGCTCCCCAGCGACCTCAACCATGGTATTCGTTTAGGTCACACGGAATCAGTTTGTTGGCTATTGGAACGGACGAATCTAACGGGTTATATGACGCCTCAGTGGCATACCGCGTTGCTGCGCTACATGAGCAACTCATTGGGACCCTGAGCTATCTGGATGAGCGCTTCCATCACTCTACGTCTGTGTGGGTGCCCCTGAGTGTTACGGAGTATGTGGAGTATGATATTGCACAATTTGGTATTATTTTACTCGTGGCATCACTGCTCTCAGTGGGGTATTCCATTTATGAGGTGGAAGGTCTTTCTTTCTCTCCAGGTGTTATGTTGATTTTGGTGGCACCTTTCCTTGATTCAGTTGCAGCCAGGTGGTTTGGAGTTGGGGGAATGTGCTTGTGTAGCGGGTTGCTGATGATTGCATGGAGCGCGTGTGCGTGGGACTTGTCGTGGTTGACGGTAAACGCCGTCATGTTGTGTCTGCTCATAATTCTTCAGCCTGCGGCGGGTCTTTTTGTCGGTTCCGGAGTCGCTGTACAGCTTGCTTTTCTCCACGTAAAATGTCGGAAGCTCCTTACTTTATTGCTAGGTGCGCTTTCATCATGGGCCGTATTCTACCTCTTTGTGGGGATGCTGAACATCCAGTATGACGACAAGGGTACAATAGGGGGCATTTATATCTCCTTTTTCGTTTACCCGAACGCACTATGGGTCTCTAGCCGCTTGATTAGATTCGTTTTGCCACTATTGCGGTCTCAATCGATGTCGGCATAGAGTGTGTAATCTTCTTGCCTTTTTTTTTTTACTTCACTCCCCCTTTATTTATATGTATCTATCTCGGTGTCTATATGCACTTCTGCTCCGTGTGGCAGTTACTTTGTTTGCCAAGTTACTGACCGCATGTATCCTTGCATATAAATAAATAAATGCATGATTAAGTATCATCTTTTTCTCTCTCCACGTGACTGTTGTTGGTTAGCCGCTTGCAAGTGATCATGGCAAAGCGCACCGTTAAGATGGGCGTCATGGGACGCTATGGCGCTCGCTATGGTGCCAACCCCCGTAAGCGCGCCAAGAAGCTTGAGGTGTCGCAGCACGCGAAGCACTTCTGCTCCTTCTGCGGCAAGTTCGCCTTCCGCCGTAAGGCTGTGGGCATTTGGCGCTGCGACGGCTGCAGCAAGACGATGGCGGGTGGCGCCTACACGCTGAGCACCCCGAACAACAGCACTGTCCGTTCCACGGTTCGTCGCCTTCGTGAGCTCAAGTAGGGCAAATAGTTTTATTTACTATTGTTTTTTTTTTCCTTTGTTTCTTTGTCACGTTTGCTGCTACTCTCACACAACAGCGCAATCGAGGTGAGGAAACAGGGGCGTGAGACATGTGCAACTTTCCCGCAAGGGAATAAGACTTTGTGATACGTCTTGAATGCATTATCAACTCCTGTCTGCGGTGTCGTGTTTTTCCATATTCTGTGTTTCTGTCCTCTTGTTTCTTCGAAGCAAGAAAGACTACCAATGTTTTCTTCCAAAACTGAGTACGACAGGGGTGTGAACACCTTCAGCCCCGAGGGACGAATCTTCCAGATTGAGTATGCGATCGAGGCCATCAAGTTGGGAAGCACAAGTCTCGGCATCCAAACCCCCGATGCGGTCGTCATTGCGGCGGAAAAGCGGGTGCCCTCCGTGTTGGTTGATCCCTCCAGTATGAACAAGATTTTAGAGATCGACTACCACATGGGTACGGTACTGAGCGGCATGGTGGCTGATGCACGAATTCTTGTCGAGCATGCCCGTGTGGAGGCGCAGAATCACCGTTTCACCTATGACGAGCCAATGCGCGTTGAATCGTGCGCGTTGGCGACATGCGATTTATCGATTCGGTTTGGTGAAGGTGGGGGAGGCAAAAAGTTGATGTCCAGGCCGTTTGGCGTTTCCCTTCTCATTGCTGGTGTCGATGAAAACGGTCCCCAGCTCTGGCAAACGGACCCTAGTGGCACCTACACCCGTTATGACGCGCAAGCAATTGGTGCTGGCGCTGAAGCTGCTCAGACTGTTTTTAATGAACGCTATCACCGCAATATGACTGTCGAGGAGGCCGAAAACCTTGCCGTGCAAATCTTGAAACAGGTGATGGAGGAGGAACTGACCAAAAACAACATTGAGATCGCCATTGTCCCCGTCTCCACTGGAAAGCTGGACATTTACGATCAGACGCGAATTCAAGAAATCATTGACCGTCTGAAGGACGAGTAAATGTGGCGCACGCTCTTCATTTGTCCCGTCCTTCCTTTGTTTATGTTTCCGCGGTTCTTTAAGTTTACTACACGACACCCCTATAGGAAATGAGATAAGCGTTTTTTTTGTTGTTGTTGAGCTCTATGTTCATTTTTTCCCCCTTTAAATTGTTCTGCTTGTCCTTTGCGTGTGCCGTCGTCGTGCTCAATATATTCTTGTTGTTGCTCTGGCCACATATCCGGCCAGTTAAAGTACAATTACTCTGCTTCCACTAACTTTGCTTTCTACGTGCTTTGGGCAAAGAAGCTCTCAAACTCGTTGACGATGAATACACTAACGGCGGATGCAGCAGAAGCCAATGAAACCCAGCAGCGGATGGATTCTGGGGAGTCAGAGAAAAGTAAGCGCGTCTCAAGCGCGGTGCAGTTTCTGCACGACCCTCGTGTGAAGTTCACTCCAGCGGCAAATAAGATAAGGTTCCTAATGACCAAGGGCCTCACGGCAGAGGAGATGTACGAGGCCTTTGAGAAGGCAGGGCAAACAACCTCATTAGATGAAATCAAAAATGCAATGAATGCTCCATCGGTTGTGGGGTCTAGATCGGGGGTTGTAAACGTAGCTGCGGCGCCAGGGAATAATGGGGTGGGCAGGGCGGGGTATCTTCCGCGCCAGGATCCTTTGCCAACGTACGGTGGGCCGCTTTACGCGCCGCAGCCACCACCTTTGCCGCCCATGCCTCAAGAGACAAAGGAACTCGACTGGAGGGATGTTGTTATTGGCGTGGGCGCCGCATTACTAACTGGCTTTGGCGCCGTTAAGGCATTTCAAGCCTACTCCCCGTATGAAATTCGACGCAAAGATGAGAACGCCATTCTGGGAGCGCGAGGCGAAGTTCGGCGACGGGGCAGAAGGCACGAAGAAGATGTCCCGTCCGAGCGGAAGGCAGGGGACCGTGTGCCGCCTTCCCACAGCCTGCCACACAACCCGCCTGCAACGCTCCCGCCGCTGCCCGCCGCAGCGACAGCAGAGGCAGTGGTGGCAAATACTGCTGCTGGTATTACTGAATTGGAGGTCCAGGAACTGCGGATGGAATTGAAAGAAACCCAAGAGGCCCTGGAAAAGGAAAAGAAGAGCAAAGCAGAGCTTTCACTTAACAACAGCAAGCTACGAGCGCAGTTCACCGCCACTACGAGAAAAAATGAGAAACTGGAACTCCGAGTCAAAACTCTGCAAGAAGAACTTGACAAGGCAAAAGGCGTGCCAAACAGCCAGACCGAACTGTGCGAGACTGTCACCGGAGCCGCGGCTGCCGTGACAGACCCTCAGCAGGATGTCGAGTTGCAGCCGAATGGCCCACGTGTTTCGTCGCCTTCGGATCCAACGGACGCCCTGGACCACGTCCTGCCTGAGCCGAAGGAAACACCTCTGCCGACAGCCGCGGAAGTCCAAGTGGCAGAACCTCAGCAGGATGTCGAGTTGCAGCCGAATGACCCACGTGTTTCGTCGCCTGCGGATCCAACGGACGCCCTGGACCACGTCCTGCCTGAGCCGAAGGAAACACCTCTGACGACAGCCGCGGAAGGTGTTCAGGGAGTATCAACTTTCTGATGGAGAAGTCCATAAGAGTAGAAGGGATAGGAAACATCAAAAAATTGTCTTAATGGCTGTGTCTGCCGCTTTGGTGTGTGCGTCTGTCTATGCGTGCGTATGTGAGACGGGTTTGTTGCTAAGAAAGAAGAACCGCATATAAATAGCTGTAGCTCCGCAACCTTCAATTCGACCTGTTTTGTCTGATCTCTTTTTATTTTCGTCTTGAGTTGCTTGCTTACCTTTTTTTTTTACCATGTGAGCTGCTTTATTGAATTTTTCCGGATGTCCTTTTCTTTTTTTTTTGCCTTGTTTAGAAACATTTGTGGGCGCTTCTGTGTGTATGCCGAATGTCGGGCCAGCAAAAATATACAGGCGTTGTTCCTTTGGACCTCAAGTCAGTTCCGGCGGCGAACGCCAGAAATGACCTCGACGCGGAGTGCCGGGGTGCGAGGGGGCGGTTGCCAGCGGTGGCCACAAATAAATTTTTTGCCATCGAAACGTCCTCGGAAGGAAGTGGTTCCAGTCACGTGGCCCTCGAAGGGCATCATGAGCGCTGCCTTGCAGGGGGAGGGGCCTGTCACAGTGACGATGTGTCACTTTCTCTTTTAAAGGAGCTCGCTTTCACGTCGTCATCTGAGTCGTCCGAGGGTGTTCCGGTTTCTCCTACACGCGCGGATGATGTGCCGTTAGATAACATGGATGATGCAGTGGAGCGGGAGAAGCGGGGACTACCGGTTTGCGATCAAAATCATGGCCCTTTTTTAGATTCTGGTCTCAAGGAAGAGGAGTCTCCTGATAGGCATTTGCCTCAGGCTCCTCTCGCTGTTCCGCTGGAGAGCACATCCGTGGACTGTGGCGAAAAACGTAAGCTCGTAGAAGCCAGCGAGACTTTGTTTTTCCCGACACAGCATGTTCCAGCTGGGGGCCCTATGCAATGTTCTCGGTGCCTGCCCCAGGGGCGCAAAGATTGTTTGGTAGAACTTTATTATAGAGGGGTTACGACACGAAGGAGATTAGAAGAAAAGTGGGCCACCATACGCGCTGCCAGGGAAAATGCGTTTAAGGCGTATTCATTTCAACCAAAAATCACAAACAAGGCCAAGGCAATTCCGCGCCGTGGGAAAATCCCTGGGTGCTACGAGCATGATAAGCATCTTCGTCAACGGCTTATTCTCGAGGCATGGAAGTCGGAATCTGATGGGCAGTGCCAGCCCACCCCCACGATTTCCAAGGGATCCGAGCGCATAGTGCGTCGAGTGAGAGGCAATAGCGCGCCCGTGATTCCTGTGGAGGAGCGACTACACTTGGACTCGGATCGACGCCGGTGTCGAATGGAAGAAGAAGCAGTGAAGCAGCAGATTTATTGGGTTAAACGTACTCCAGGTGATATTAAGGCCCACATTGATCGTCTGTACATGTGCGAGGTAAACCGTCAGTTTGCGCTGCAGAAGTTGCGGGAGGAGGTGGATGCGGGTCGTCGTCAAGCACCACTGCATGTGAGTGGCGCGGACGTCGTTAGGCGTCTTGCGAGGCCGTTGGAAAGGACACGGCGTGGGCGTTGCATGGATGAGGAAAAGCAGCCCTTTGCGCCTCAGCTTTTTTCCGGTACGGATGAGTTACGTCGCCGCGCAAGAAGGAGGCGAGTCGACGCGTGGTACCTCTTTTTCACGCAGAGGCGTCACGAAGGTGCCTTTCCACCGAACGCGATTGCTGAAAAAATACGGGAGGCACTTGAGCATGCAGATTTGTCGGGAAATTTTTCACGAGCTGCCTTTGGCTCCGCCCTCGATGAGTATGAAAAAAGGCATGGGACGCAGTCGTGGCACTCAACGCCGCCGCCCGCTGCGCCCGCCTTGAACGAGGAATTAACGTTTGCGCCAAAGGTCAACCCTCGCAGGAGCTCGCAGGAGTCTGCACAGGCGGCACACGAGCGGTTGTTTTCCGCGGTGAGAAAACAACAACTGACAATACAAGCAGAGGAAGCGCGAGTGCGGCTGGAGGCTGCCTTGGATGAGGAGAGACGAAAACAAAAACAGCAGCGACAGCAGCGACAGGCAAGGGCTTTGTCTAACAAGAAGATGAAGTTGTTAGAAAGCCCGAGCAGTGCCGAAGAGGAAGGAAGACGTCCTCCACTCTCGTTACTGCCGAGTGAAACCCCACAGAGCATTGCAGATGATGCCTGCGTGTGTGAGAGCTTCATAGTGTCGCCTACATCTGATACCTCAGCTTCATTAGATTCTATGCCTGTTCTAGTTGAGCTGCCAACGATGTCTGCCTTTTCGCACGTCTTGGTTGCAGCACAGCAGTTGCAGAGTTTACTCGATGCAGCCGAGGGTAGAGAAGAAAAAGAAGGCGTGTCGTCAGTTTCTCCTCGACAAGAGGCGGCGCCTTTTGCGGAGCATACCAGGCCGGTTGTTATTGCTGACACGCCTCAGGTGGCAAACACCAGGCCTGAGCCCTCAGTTTCGAGAGGGTGTGGGAGCCAACGCAGCGCAGTCAAGAATATGCGCGTGTCCACGGACCTCCTGCTGGAGTGTGCGCTAAGCCGCCTCACCTGGTCCGCGGACGTAGCCACGCGGCGGCGCGAGTGGAGCGAAGGTCGACGTCGTCTGCAGGGGGTGGGAAAAATGCTTTATCAGAAGATGTAGCTTCCATCTTCGTTCACCTTTGTTTTTATTTTTCCTTTTTTTTTTCTTCCTTTGCGTCATCACGGGACTGTTGCGGGGTGTCCCGGAACTCTGACGGGGTGGACTGGCGGTGTTCGTTTGACGGCGCTCATGCTGGTGGTGGGCTTCAGTTCCGGAATGAGGCGGCGGAGTTGTATACATTGCAATGATCGATGATTATTTATTTATTTATTTTTTTCCCCAAGCCCAAGTGAGCGACTTTGCGTTGATTAGGGAAAAATAGAGAGCCGGAAGGAGGAAGAAGGCAGAAGAGAAAAAAAAAATATGGTTACCGTGGCAGAAATGGAGGCGCGGATTCGCTCGAATTTAGAGGCCACCTCGTGTGTGGTGACCGCCATAAGCGAAGAGGACCGCAAGTACAGTGTGACAATCGTGTCTCACAGGTTCAAGGACGTTCCACTTCTCAGGCGACACAGAATGGTAAATGAGCTGTTTAAAGAGGAACTCCTTTCAGGGGATATTCACGCGCTTACAATCGTTGCAAACCCCCCTCAGTGATGATTGTGTTGTGCTCATTTGACGCCATATTGAAGAGACTGCGGCTCCCCGCCTCTCTCCTTCTTCCTTTCATTTGCTTCCAGGTTTCCGAGTCCGCTAGAGATGGAGTGTCGCCTCTGCTGTTGTGCGGGTGAAGTTGGGGAGGTGGGCAGGTTTAAGGCCTGCGGCCGCTGTGCCGTAAAGGTGGTTCCCTTCTGTGAGGAGGTGGTGCGTCAGGTTGGTGGTGTCTTGGCGGGCCGGAGTTGGAGCGTAGAGGTTGTCACGGACGAGAAGGACTGGATTGCGGCTTTGGCTTCGGCTGTGAGGAAAGACGAGTTATCTGACGAGGGTAGACGCGCCATAATGTTCGCCCTGCGCTGCCGAAAGGGCGATATCACCACTTTTACATTCATGGATCGAATGTCTGTACTTGCCGCTGCTAGTGCAGCCATCTCTCGTCTCCTGACGTCGCCTAAAAGGGCCAAGTCTTTGCCTGTGAAAAGGAGCCAATAACGTGCATGAATCCCTTGTCTGCACGTGGTTAGGTGTTTGCCTGGCAGTGTGTGGTGGGACTCGGTTTGTGGCGCAGTGGTGCTTTCTACTGCCAAGTGGGAATTTGTGCTTCCCAATTAAATCTGAAATGACATTGCTTCGGGCAGGTTCCTTATCTTCGCATTTCCTTTTCCCCTTTTGCGTTATTTTTGCCTTTTGCCTTTGCTGTCTGTCTGTGCGTCCTTGTCCAGTAGAAGGACTCAGGATGGTGAAGCCGATCGTCCCGAAGAGCGTCGTGAAGAAGCGCACGAAGAAGTTCACGCGCCACAAGTGCGAGGCCTTCCCGCAGCTGAGCAGCAGCTGGCGCAAGCCCCGGGGCGAGGACTCGCCGGTCCGCCGCCGCTACAAGGGACAGAAGGCCATGCCCAACAAGGGGTACGGTAGCGACCGCAAAACGAAGTACATCACGCCGTCGGGATTCAAGAACTTCCCCATTAACAACGTGAGGGACCTCTACATGCTGCTCATGCAGAACCGCAAGTACGCGGGCGTCATCTCCCACACCGTGGGCGCCAAGTCGCGCAAGGCCATTGTGCGCAAGGCCCACGAGCTCGATGTGCGTCTCATCAACGGGAACGCCAAGCTCCGCCGCGTTGAGAACCACTGAGTTTCTTCAACTGAATGATTTGCTTATTTCTTTATGAATATGTTTCCTACACACCCGTTGCTTGGAAGCACACATCCACAAATATGGGCCATTTCCTTTGTTACACCTGATTTTTTCCCTGATGCGACCTCCGCAGGGAGTATATTTCCTTTTTTTTTTAATTCCCTTTGCTGTTTTTTTTTCTGCTTTCTGTGTGAGACAATTTTTGTGAAAGAATTGAGGCAGTCGAAGATGCCCTTTGCTGACCATAAGAAGTATAAGATCCAGCGGGAGGAAATGCCCGCCGTTCCTCACTTTTCCGACTTCAATGACCCACGCTTCTGCTTTACGGGCAACAAGCAGAAGAATGGCATTCTTGCATACTATCAGTGGCTCC